GAAACAAAATAGTAAAGATGTAGTTTGTGAAAATCAAGGATGTATGGTGGAAAGGTTAGAACAACAAACAGCATCATAAAACTGTGTAGTTATGCCCCAGACGAAATCAAAAACTGTTAGGGATATGCGTCTGAGGGGATTAAGCAACTAACATCACAATTAAAATTAGAACAAAAAGATGTGGTACAAAAGTGCATCTGTGGAATGATTTCCCAACACAGTTACAAAAAATGACGACAAGAATTGAACGTTCAGCACTAAACAGGGTTATTCATAGAATCTCGTTGAGCCAAAAGAAAGATTAAGTAGACGTTTAACTTCCCAATTGGACTGGAGGTGTGTTTCTGCGTTTTACTGCGTTGGCACTGGAGGCAGCTACGTGTCCATCGTTTAACATCCGAGTTGATTTTAGGCCACACAAAACGTTCGGTAATGAGCTTTGTTGTTGCTCTGATGCCTGGGTGTGAAAGACCGTGCAAGTGCTGAAATATTTTTCGTCGGCAAGCGTTTGGGACAAACGGACGATTGTTGCCTGCTGAAGTGTCGCACATGATGAATGCATCTGAAAGAGGAATTGGTACAGGTTTGAGATCTATGCTAGACTTTTCTCTGCAGACTTTTAATTCTGCATCGTCCGCTTGTAATTTAGCCAAGGTTTCAACGCTGATGTCATGATTGAGTACCATCGTATTGATATCCCTCCTAGATAGTGCGTCTGCGACAATGTTCGTGTGACCTTTGATAAACCTGATGTCTGTGGTAAATTGGGAGATATAATCAAGTTGTCTTGCTTCTCGTGGGGAGTGTTTGTCATACGACGTGCTAAAAGAATGGCAAAGAGGTTTGTGATCTGTCACAATGATGAAATCACGACCCTGTAGCAAAAAGTTGAAATGTTTTACTGCTAAATACATAGCTAAGAGTTCGCGTCCAAAAGTACTATAACGTTCTCGTGCCGGCGATAATCTCTTGGAGAAAAAGGCAATGGGAGTAATCGTGTTGTTTACCCGCTGTTGTAATACTGCTCCGGCGGCTTTTTGTGAAGCATTCATGCATAGGATCAACAGTGTTGTGGGGTCAGTATTTAGGTGTTGGAGCATGGTAGCATTAGCAATCATGGATATAGCTTTTTCAAATGCTATTTTGGCATCGGAAGGTAACTTGAATATTTGGTTCTTTTCTTTCTTGATACCTGATTTATCGTTTTTCAGTAAATCTGTAAATGGCTGTAGTACATCGGCACAATTTGGTAGAAATCGTCGATAAAAATTGCATGTTCCAAGAAAACGACGCAGTGATTTTACTGAGGTTGGCTCTGGGTAGATGGTGATGGCTTCGACTTTATCTTCAAGCGGTTTAATTCCTTGGGAATCAATGTGGTGTCCCAGGAATTCCAGAGATGAGGTGCCAAATATACACTTCGAAGGGTTGATTACAAGACCATATTTTTTGAAACGTTCGAAAAGCGTGTGTAAGTGCTGAACATATTCTTCAGTGGAAGAACTAGCGATTAAAACTTCGTCTATATAAAGAAACACAAAATCCAAACCTCTAGTTACTTCGTCCATAAATCTCTGAAAGGTTTGAGCGGCGTTTTTTAGTCCGAAAGGCATCCTCAAGAACTCAAACAAGCCAAAAGGTGTGATTACGGCTGTTTTCTCGATATCCTTAGGTGCTGACAGTATTTGATGGTATGCTCGGACTAGATCTAACTTTGAAAAGATCTGTTTTCCATCTACATTTAAAGAAAAGTCATGCAGACGAGGGATCGGATACCTGTCTGGGATAGTCTGGTTATTCAATCGGTGATGATCTCCACATGGACGCCAGTCTTGATCTTTCTTGGGAACCATATGCAGCGGCGAGGCTCAAGGACTCTTAGGTTGTTTGATTATCCAAAGTTGCATCATGTGTTCAAATTCTCTCTTAGCGAATTGCAACTTGTTTGAAGGGAGTCTTCTCGCCCTTGCGCGAATGGGTGGTCCTGTAGTAGTAATACTGTGTCGGACATGATGTGTGGAGCATTCGCTTTGGTAATCAGCTCTGGTTATACTTTCATACTTCGACAGGATATCGGTGAAAATTTCGAAACTGGAGATAGTTGTGCCACTGACCTGTAAGCTTGTGTTTTTGCCGATTAGTTTCTTTTTCCCCATATCTACGAGTAGGTTGTAAGCACTGAGAAAGTCGGCCCCGAGAATGGGTTGTTTGATTTCAGCTACGATAAAAACCCATGTAAAAAGTCTCCGGAGACCGAGATCTAAGATAAGTGATTGTTCGCCATAAGTTTTAATGACTGTGTTATTGGCTGCGACTAGAGACAATTTAGTACTCTGGGGGTGCCGTCATTGAGAGAGGTGTAATGGGATGATGCTGATTTCGGCTCCTGTATCGACCAACAAATCTGAGCCCGATATTCGATCCCTGACATGAAATAGACGGCTCGGGTAGTGGCCAGAAACAGCCGCCGCCATCTCTGTCTGGCCGGGCCGTTTCCCTAATTCTCTGTGTCAGCCGCAGAAAATGTGCACGGTCGTGTGCAACGCCGTGTTTTAGTGCCGTATTTTTGGTGGTACCAACAAACTTCAGATGTTCGCTTTGGTGACCGAGACCGTTGTCTGGAAAAAGACCTTCGTTTGGAGGGGGATCTCGATTGACTAGCTTGGATGCTTGCTATGGTCGATTGCAGTGACGCCTGCTGGCTCGTTAATTGCGTTAACTGATTTTGAAAGAAGACTAAACAGCTAATATCTGCTGGTCCAGGTGGTTGCAATGAGTTCACACAGTGACTATCATGGTAGACTTCCATCATTTTATCCGCCATGTCGGCTAAGTCATCAAGGGTGACGGACTTCCCCGAGACACTGAGAATTTGTCTAGCGCTGTGTGGTAATCTTTGAAACCACATTTGCTTTAGGAGGACTTTGTCTAGCTTTTATAGACCGGCGAGTTGTTTCATGTAGCTGAGAAGTTGAGAGGGTCTCTTATCTCCCAAGTCGCAAGACGTTAGCAATTGTTGTAGCCTTTCCTCATCTGAGACGGATGTATGTTGAATTACCGCTGCTTTTATCTTATCATATGGTTCAGATTCTGGCACGTGATCGATTAAATCCCAGACTTCAGCGGCAATCTCAATAGGAAGTAAGCCGACTACATATGCATACTTTGTCGTCTGAGATCTTATGCCTCTAGCCATGAACAAAGCTTCAATTTGTGCAAACCAGACTCTTGGATTGTTAGCTCCATAAGCTGGGAGTCTGAATTCTGAGATAGAATTAACTGAACTAAAATTATTTTCACGAGAGTTCGAAAATGAGACAAAAGTCGTTACTGGAGGCAAATCCATATCAATGAGTTTAGTGGGAGAGGACATTACGGGAAAAAAATAAACCAGTAAATTGTATGAAATGATAAACAATATAACAGTTAGGATAAACACGAGGCTCACCAAATAATTGTGGTGGACCGGACGATATATAAACGCAAAAAGTATCAACAAAGTTAATAAAAATCAATAGTAATATTAATATATACCAGTTAAATGTTACAAATACAACAAAAATGAGACTTTACTTAAGTTCACCCAAAAATGATGCGTGTTCAGCTTTAATCTGTTACAATAAATCCACAATTATAGATGCTTGGTAATTCCAATCGTGTCGATGAACTCTCCAGTGGTGTAATCCAAAGCAAGGTATGAGGTATTCGCACTCACAGTTTATGAACGTAAATAATATTTGTTTTAGATCTCAGTTAACTCAATCACGAATGGAAATAGAACGAGGAATGTGTGAGGCAGTGTATTTGTTAGCTAGCAATGGTATGTCATGCTATGTTAGTATCACAACGGAAAATGTGTTCAAGGTCATTTACTAAAACAAAACGTACAATCATTTAATGATAAATGTACATATAGTGAGAAATTGACAAAATAAATACCAATATTATTAAAAACTATTTACAAAATAAGCTTGTCAGACCTATCTCCACAACTTCTCACCAGGCTACTTCTGATTGGCTCTCTATATGAGGAATATAGTTGAAATTTTGAACACAGCAGCTGTACATTTTGATCTTCGGGAATGATTTCCCTCTCCCATAGCATTAACGCCAACAAATAAACATGAGAAACCGTAGCAGCATCCTATGCATCAGTAGGCCTCACCATGCATAAGGAACATAGAGAAATCCCATAATTCAACGTAGTGAGCACACTTAGCGGAAAAGCTATGGAAGATGCGGAGTCTTTCACGTACCTGGGCAGACTAATTGATAAACAAGCAGCATCTGATGAAGAAGTAAAAGCACGTATTGACAAAGCAACAACAACACCCCTACAATTGCGGAACATATGCAATTCAAACCGACTGTTAGCCAACATCAAAGTCGGAATTTTCCATACAAAGGTCAAGACGGTCTTACTGTAAGCTATTGAAACGTGGAAGAACACCATACTCATCGTCAAAAAATTACAAGTATTTACAAAAAGTCGTCTTCGCAAGATACTCTAGATGGGTCAGCTGAATACTGTCAGCAACAAACTATGACAGAACAAACCAGCTTCCAACTGTATAGGAGAAGACTCTTGAGGCGGGTAGGACATACATTACGGAGATCAAACTGTATCACGAGGAGAGCCCTAACTTGGAATCCTCAAGAGAAAATATAGAAAGAGACATTGACGAACATATTGCTCTGAGAATCAAAGGCAGGAATGAATGGCACTCGGAAACAACTGAGAATGAGAGCCTAGGATGAGGTTCTTTGGATAATCCTAACAGGTGGCCTATGCCTCACGAGGAGTAAATGTTTAATTAGATACCCAGTTGGTTTTGTCAAGTCATAATATCTAATTTCTGATGTCCGAGTAATAAGTACCTTAACCTGCTTAAAAGCCGTTTCCTGAGCCTACCGCTCACAGGATATGAAGTTATACGACTAACATGAAATTAAATTCACTGAACTGGAGATTTCACTTATTAATTTATTGGAAATAAAAACCGGGTTTATTGAATAGTTCGCTATGGTAAGTGCAAGCATGGTTTGTAAACGTCGATCAAAGTATATTTTGAATTGCCGTAGCACCTCATTCACCTATATCCCCCAGTTCTCAGACTTTCTACACAATGTTTTCAGTTGATAAGACTTATATCAACATAAATATTCAGAATTATTGAAGGAATGTGGCACATCGAAAATTCGGTGTTCTATTTTGCATAATCATTATCAGTTTAAGATGTATTAACACGAAACAACTAAAACTAATCCTTCTAAGATTTTTCAGTACCTTTTGTGGGGTTGCGACTAAATGTTTGGTAGATTATAATGGTGTGTACAATACATTATATATATATATATATATATATATATATATATATATATATATATATATATATATATATATATATATATATATATATATATATATGATATACATTGTATGATTTCTTGTACTTGTCTTAACGCAAATATAAATTCACCGATTTGTCAGCCGTATGTGATTTTAAAAATTGGGTATTTGTCAACTCAGATGTTTAAAATCAACGGTAACAGCAGTAATTGTAGTCGTACATATGTTACAAGGCGTTCATTAGTCACAATTGTACCAGGTGAAATTCTGTAAGCAGTGGGTTTGATGAAGTCAAATAAATGGGTTTTTTTTAGCATCATATGAGAGATTTTTCATGTAGAGGTGACTCGTAGTAGACAAAAGTATGGCCGTACCTGAGTGTTCACTCTGTGATGTGCGATTCTTCAGGTATTAAACATTTCGTAGAGTGCTTTAGTAGGGTTTAGACAAAATGCTTTTTTCGATGTGACTTGGCGTGCAATCGAGCGAGAACGATTTAAGATGGCGAAGTCTGTTTTATGCTTTGCCCCTCGGTCCGATCACCCATTTTTCTCATTTCTGTACTTAATCGTATGTTGAAACTTAGAGGAACACCATACTTATCGTCAAAAAATTACAAGTATTTACAAAAAGTCGTCTTCGCAAGATACTCTAGATGCGTCAGCTGAATACTGTCAGCAACAAACTATGACAGAACAAACCAGCTTCCAACTGTATAGGAGAAGACTCTTGAGGCGGGTAGGACATACATTACGGAGATCAAACTGTATCACGAGGAGAGCCCTAACTTGGGATCCTCAAGAGAAAATATAGAAAGAGACATTGACGAACATATTGCTCTGAGAATCAAAGGCAGGAATGAATGGCACTCGGAAACAACTGAGAATGAGAGCCTAGGATGAGGTTCTTTGGATAATCCTAACAGGTGGCCTATGCCTCACGAGGAGTAAGGGGCATAAGTATTCAAGTAAGCTCTCCAATAAAGAATGAATTTTCAGTTAGACGTTCTGAACACATGAATAATAACTACCTGTCCGTGAAATTTTAAAAATTATGTAAGTTGAATCTGGTAACACTGCTGATGAAGGTAAAAATTGTGGCGAACTGTCACCAAAGTTAATATTTCAAATAGTATTCGCCAAGGTTGTTCGCTTTTCCTATTTTGTGTTTTTAATTTTACTTAGACATTCAGCTATAACAGTCTCATCGTGTATCTTATAAGAAAACAGTCTTCAAACTGCTTCAAGCAACAATATTTGTATGTCTGTGGTGGGTTGCGTTTCCTGCAAATGCAAAATATTACTTCGAAACGGGCTTGAATGAACACCTAAACTGGTAGTGGGAAGTAAAGCAGCCGAGCGTCCCGATCACTTGATTTTTCTCGGAGGTATCTCATCAACCTTGATGAGGTGTTGTCTGATAGAGTCTTGTCAGGAATGACGGAAATTTTTTTGGTTTTTTCAGTGTATATTGTAACTTTTCAGTCGGACTGTACTACATATCCATCCACTTCCATTCAAGTACCTTGCACACGAAAAGTTTAGCTCAAAATATCCGAATATCCACTTGGTAAATAAGTCGCTCTGTTATCATTGGTATAAGATGTCGTAACAATATTGCACGATAATCGAGTTCTGTGTCTAAATTATTCATTTAAGAATAAATAGATCTTTAGCTTAACATTCGAAAATAAATAATACAATTCGCAGTCACTTAAAAACCTAAAACTAATTTTTTGTTTAAATATGATTGTTATTCATGTTCTTATAACTTTTTTTGCTTTTTCAAGAAATGAATAACGACGACGTAATATGGCACACTATCAACCATTCATTCTGTTCTTTTGTTGTCAAAACTAAAACAGGAAGGTTTTGCAGAAATGATGACAATGTGACAGGATTGTGTAATCGACATTCTTGCCCATTAGCCAACTCACAGTATGCCACTATAAAAGAAAGAGATGGTATCATCTACCTGTATGTCAAGGAACCTGAACGTATACCTTATCCTGGTAAACAGTGGGAGCGGATTAAATTGCGCCGGAATAAAGAACAAGCTCTGAAACAAATCAAAGAGCACTTATTATATTGGGATAAATGGATAATAAGTCGTGTTAAGCAGAGATTCTTTCGCACAAGAGAATATCTTAAAAATATGCGGCGTTTGGCCTTATCAAGACAAAAGAAATTAGAACCTATTAATCGTACGGTTGAAAAACGTGAATTAAGGAGAGAAGCAAAAGCATTACGTGTAGCACGCATTGAACGTACTGTAGAACAAGAACTCTTAGAAAGATTACGCGCATCAACATCTTCCAAGGAAATATATAACATAGATCAATCTGCCTTTGAAAAGGCTCTGGAAGCTGAAGAAATAAATGAAGAAGAATCTGATGAAGAATACGAGGAAGAAGAAGAAGAAATCGCTTACACTTCAGGATCTGACGTTGAAGATATTGAAGATATCGGAGTGATCGATGAGGAAAATGAAGAAGAGGAAGCTGAACATAATCTTGTTCTGACAAATCCTAAAAAGAAGCGTAAAGTTACCATTCACTATGAAAAAGATGAATGAACAATTATCCCATTTTTACTGTATATATCTTGTATATTTAAGTGAAATAGACTGTGAGTAGCTTTTTAACTATACGAAAATTGGAACCTTTTGAATTCATTTGTTCAACAAGCTTTTCGTTACTTTTTATTAACCCAACTAGTTGTCACGGTGTGTTTGAATAATCACGGTAATAAGTCACAGATTTTTACGTCTCAGTATAAAGATATTGGCCTATATTATTATAGTAGAAAAAACTACCATTCATACCTAACCTACTGTCTTTGACTCGTATCTGTTTGCATTTCATCCTAACCCCATGAAAAGTAATCATTCGTTGAGCATTCCAATTATGAGTAAATTAAAGTTGTTGTTAGTATGAAGTTTCCATATCGTCAGAACATAATGTGATCGATATTAAGAACCAAAAATGGCTGTAATCACTAGAACGTTTTCATATATATCCAAACACAGATACTGACTAGATTTAACCCAAAGTTTTACTGCTAAGTTGGAAATTGCAACACACGACAAATTCTTCACTTTACAAGGCTTAAGGAAACTCAAAGGATATTGCTACTTTCTGCACAGGATTGCTGTGATAGACGTTTTTGATATCCATCCATTTCACATCCCATCAATAGTTGACAAATATTGCCCTCACAGTCAGTCACTGTTTGGATGTTCCTGTGGCTGACATATTATCCTCCATCTGATGTGCAGCATGATTCTTTATCATAAACAATGAACTTATAACATAACGAGTATATATATATATATATATATATATATATATATAACAACTCACTTTAAACTTTACTGTTTTAATGTTTGCAATCCGGGTGAAAAGCTATCCACCTAATATCATAAACTAAGCGGAAGCCAGTCTACTTCGTTCTCGACAGATTATATCTGTATCATTTATTCAGCTTTCTCTGTTCATATAATACATTGTAAAGTGCACAATTTGTAAGAAGTCGTTGGTCACAGACCTCTCTACAGTTGATTCACCATAAATTCGACCTTTCCTTTAATTCAAAGCTACTTAATTACTGTAACATGTACCTATTCTTACACTTAGAAACTACTCACGTGATAAAAGAACCCAAAATGTTTGACGGCCTCCAAATGCCCTGGTACGGCCGAGAGTGGAGAGTCCGCTCTCCCTCTCGAAATGCTCTTACATGGCCACGCGTATATAGCCTCTGCCAGGGAAGTCCTACTCACTGCTTTCTCGTGGCGGGGGTGTTGTTTACGAAAATGAGAGGACAAAAAGCGAATATCTGGCGCTTTAACCGGATCCCAAACCAATGGTGCACATGGGCTCCAATATCCTGCGGGAATGGCGTATGAACCAATTGTTGGTCACTGGCTTCCATGGGACGGCATCTTCTTACGATGCTCCACTGCCTTGTGGATCAGACCTTCAGGTCGAAGGCTCGGGGTGTGGCCCCCTAAGAAGCCACCTGCTTCGGTCTGGGCACAAGGGCAGTATCACAGCCCTCACACATATCGAATGAGATTTGTGTGGCGCATATGTATTTGGTGCTTCCTTGTACCAATATGTGTTAAAATAAAAATAAAATGTTTGAGGTATTTTTACTGAGCTTTTGTCATTATTTACCATTGGGACACTAGGTTAGATTGACCTGTCATCAGGCAAAAAATGTCATCGGGGTAATGGAAACAACACAAGCATTACCGTAAATCGAACTATTCAAAGAAAATAATTTACTTCCGCAATGCATATTCTACAATCTCTAGTGTTTGGATGACTTTGAATTGTGCTTACTTTTGTATTTATTATTTTTACCGTTTTGGAAGTGACAACCAACAGTTCTGCTCTAATAATGCGGTTTTGAAAGTAATAATTACACCATCACATGAAACCAATAATAGACCATCAGTTGTCTACTGTGTTCGCATTGCCTATCTACTACATTATTGTGACCGGCTCTTTGAAAAGTGCCGTAGTATCTGAAGTTATGATTCGTAATTGTCAGTCCTTATATTATTTAGTGCCTATTAGGAATATCTTCATTGGCCAGAAACCAAAAACTTATAGTACGAGTTTACACTTAGGAGTGTCAAGTCATGTTTCGAAATAAAATCCTCGTTCCTACCTATGCAATACATCAGTTTCACCTAGACAAGCACCATTTACAACGTACAACCTACGGCAGTATTATTGATGTTGGGAGAGCAAATGCCAGCTACTACTATGTAGTTTTACTGTCTCGTATTTAAACCTTTATACACCAGTCGCAAGACCTTAACTTATAAGTATATATGTACAGTAATAGTGACATTCTTACGTTATATCGGATAATATTAAAACAAAACCATCGGAAACTGGTTTCCATGCACTTTTGTGTAGCAAAAAAGTGTGAATAAGTTTGATTGTATGCGAAACAGTAACGGTAGATTAATAAAGTTAATCTTAGCTGTCACTTCACTATAATCAGTTCGTTGCAAAAACCCGTTTAAAACCGAGTCAGGTTCTGGATAGATATCGGTGCTGATAATCTTGTGGATAACCGGTTCCAGCTATGCCGCTTGGCAGATCGTAGCTGACTATCTAAATGAATATGAAATAAGAGTGGGCTCAATATCTCCGCAAACAGCATCTCAGAATATCATTTGCAATCTACAGACGATTACACTATGTTTTGATAAATACTGTTTGAGGATTTCTAGTTATGCAGCAGGGTAATTGAGTAACTGTAATATAAAAATACAGAGGCACAGTATAGTCATTAGTCCGATTTTTGGAAAAGGTCGGGATCCGTTAAAATTCCTTAATGACATATAAGCTTGCAATCAGTGTGCGGAAATATATCTTTCTTCATTTTCTTCTCTAAGTTTTAACAGGAATTTGTTGCCTAGATGTACACATGTTTCCAGGACGGTTCGCATTCAGTCTACTAAAAACTGCGTATTCAATTACTTGCACGGAGAGAAATAATCTAATACTCTCGTAGAGAATTCACAAAGTCCATGTTGATGATTGAGAATCGCTTAGTCTTACACACGATATGTAAATTATTTATATAGTAGATATGCTTCAGTAAAATTGAAATGGTAGGTAGTAGACTTAGAAAGGAAGCGTAAAATTCCGAAACATCGCAAGGTAACATGGGGGAAAAATCACTTTATAACACTACTACGAAAGGAATGACGAGAAATATCCTGGACAAGTTTCTATTTTGAATAATAGGTCATATAATCTGGAGTTTTTGAAGCAGAAAGCTAAAACTGAAGCCGATTTACTCTGAATTGTCAACTCGCATTCATGATTACGGGGAATCGTGCTATTCCTCCTGCTCTTATACTAAAATTAAGCACTTTGAAATGTTAAGAATGCATATAGTCAAAATCAGTTTCATTATAATGGGAAGAAGATAAATAAATTACAAGATATTGCTAAAATACAATGAATACAGTTAGTTCATAGTTACAAACATTTGTTTTTCTGGTATTCTATGCGAGAAACTTTATGTTCATCATTGACTAGGGTGTACACATATAACTGTATTGCGGTTTCTTGAATATCCAAAAGAACAAATGAAGGTTGCGGGTTTCTAATTTAGAAAAAAGAAACGAAAAGGGAAACATACACATATGATTCGTCAATATTGAACAGTGAAGCATGAATTAATCCAGGTTGTTTAGATCTTACGCTGTTTACCTACTGATTAATCACATTCATCAATAAATACTGAATCCCAATGCAAATCTCAGTCATTGGCGAACAAAGTAAAGAAGTAGTACTTACTTTTCAAAAGGGCTATATGCACCGGTAGCAGAACCAGGATTAATATAAAAGTGTCCAGCATATTCATAGGCTTCAAACTTATGAGTATGACCACTGATCAATATATCAACGTCTAACTCCCGTTGCAGCGTAGCTAAACTTTTTTGGTCTCCCCAAGGAACTATTTGATGTCCATGTATGAGTCCTATCTTAAAGTTTCCAACGCTTAAAACCTTTGTAAGAGGGAAATCTAAAGCCTTAAATTTCATGACAATAGCTTTCAAAACATACCTCATCAAAGTCGCCTTTCACAACATGCACATCTCCACAAATAAGCTTTAAATAGTCATACATATGTTTCGAAGTAAGGTTTCCAGTGCATAATATATGTTGGATTTTTCCAGGAGCTAAAAGAGTCTTAAAAGCAGGATGTAAAGAACGTTTCCTGTCAGGAATGTGGAAGTCACCGATTACTAGGACCAACTGAATTGATAAACCAGCAACAAAATTCTTACCATGTGAAACCCAAAGATTTCGAATGAGGCACCACTGCAAAATACAGACCTTTCCGACAAATTTGTGTAATCTGTGGGGATAGAAAACCAAACAAAAAACTAGAGAATTTACTTGCAGCCGAAAATTGCAGCGAATAACAAAAGACCGTCAAAATTAGCTAGCCTATAATATAAGAGCTTTCAGAACTTATCATAATAGTAAATATAAGGTCTTACGTGAGTCGGTAAGCTTCATACTTTATGTTATATTCAAGAAGTGACTTTATTAGATATTTCGCAATAGCCTGAGATTTCTGCAATCATAGTGCAACTGTGAAGTGTCAAACGGTTGTTTGTGAGCGTTTTGGGAATAACCTATAGTCCAGTCACACAACTTTGACATACGGTTTTTATAATCTTGATATTGAAATCAGCACACTTATGATACTCGTAGGCATTTTGTGATTCGATGGTTTTCTGAACCACGAAAATCATTACTCTACTCGTGAAACATGGTACAGGAATAAACTTCAAATCCAATAAATATGAAGAACATATATTTTTAGCGCGAATAGAAAATACACAACAAACTAATACGTCTTCAGTTTGTAGGAAAAAACAAACGAAGTTCAAAGTAAAAAAAAACCAAAGATTCCGGCGGAGAATATATATTTCCCAGGCTAAATAGCTTTGTTTTTGAGTGATAAAAATGACAGATCCGTTGGTCTGTGTTAATCATAGAGAAACGTGAGTTTCGAAGTGGTCATGTTACTGACTGTACTTAAGTATTACAGCTGCAAGGTTTCTTTCGAATAACCAGCATCTCTCCAGTAATGGTGCATTTCCAGAGTGAAATCAAAGGGTTCGAAAAAGTAGTACACCTCACCTTGACCAACGGACTATTGCCACAGAAGATAAGAAATCAGAACCACCAAGCTAACGCAATCAAAAATACTGCGTACTGAAAACCCGTGTATAACCGACGTTCACCAATAATTCTTGCGCCTTGTGGTTGAGCTCAGGAAAACAGCTACTAATCAGGATTTCTTTTTAAGTACCTGGGAATAGAATATCCATCGACATTGTGGACAGCTCCAGACCGTAGCATCTACCTTGACGTGGTAGTCGGCCTTGCCTATCGTGATGACTCAACCGAGCTATATTGGCTGGAACACATGTTCCTTTAGGTCCTATCATGCCAGGTAGGTCGGTTGGAGAAAGGTAAGAGTAAAAGCAGAAACTTAAGAACCGATGACAAGTCATACTGATGACTATAGAGAGATGTGATGGCAGTACTGTTTCCTTCGGACAACAAGCGTCTGCAGTGTTGCTACCTTTTCACAACGGAAGGGGTTTGAGAAGGTCGACCCTAAAAATGTCACCTCATCTTACTCCGCCTCCGACGGTAAGTTCTTTCGAAGTGCGGAGACAATACATCAAGAGCTACCCATTAAAAGGGCGTGGGCCATAGACCCTAAGCAGTCGTCCTTTGAGCTCTACGGTAACGCTCTCAAATCTTTACGGCCAATACCGACCCAGCTTCTTTATCGGATCCCTCAAAAAGAAATATCCATCCACAGTGTAGGAAGCCGATAAGTGACAAACGCTCTTATTACGTCTAACAGCACCGAGGATCATTTTGTTTATCATCGGATTTCCTCCTAACCTCTTAATAATTATCCTATACCCAAGAAAAACCACGTGCCACAAATGCTAATGATTTGCATTCACGAAATATCATTCCTGGTATCATGAAACCACGCTATAAACTACATTTTTGAGATTTTAGTGTTCGAACAGTGTGCCAAACAAGTCCACAGGCTTCTTCAGTTAGGACTCCAGAATCTCGTGCGTATACAGAGTCCAAGTACGGTCGTTTGTTTGACCTCACTTTGTCAATATAAAAAACTGGTACGATCTACTTTTGTGTGCGCTGTCCGACGGATCGGGGTACTAAGAGTTCGATGTCATTTCCTACGTTTACTGAGAATATATTTAGATAGCCGTGTTTTTACCAATTTCAAGCATAAGGAAAAGCATCATTTGACTCGGGGACGCCACAATTGACCCGGACCATGCTAACATTATTCATCGTTGGAGAGGCTCGATAGAAAGCTATCGCTCATTATGGAGCACACGTTTAGACTCGGATCATGGTCCAGTTCGAGCGCGTATTTGTTTGCATTTTTCTGTACGTAGAAATCACTTTAGGGTCTAACTTAATAATGCAGTTAGGAATATATTTCAGGAACAACTAAAGGAGTTAGACCAGGAATAACGATAGATGGTTAAAGACCTTGAATGACACGGCTCAAAATCGTTTACAATAACGCAGGTGCATCCACTTTGTGTTTTCCCAAATTCTAATCTTCTGAATTCTTCATGTCCCTTTCTTTTTTCTCTTTCCAAATTTATTTCACTGGATTATACTCCTTGAATAACATCTTCAAACCCTAATCTTTCCGATTACTGCTTCTACTTTTACTACCGCTACTACTACGGGATTCGAATCGACCACTGCATCTCTGTGTTAATGTGTTATGGCAACTCGAACTGATGTACGTACGCACGAAGTTCTACGTTGTTACTGACTGACTGAAAGGAGTTAGACAACTACGTAAGCGATATCAATCCCGAGGTGGCTTGGTACGATATCCAAATAGTTTTGGAAACAAGTTATATCTACTACTAACGCAAAATAAACAGTAATGAGAAATCAGTGGATATCAGCAGTGTCTATAGGAATGATAAATGCTTTGAAACTCATCCAGTCTAGGCGCGAACACGATGAGGAGCGGAGGTAAATTGAACATAGACTAGGGAAAAGCCTATACAACGATCTTGATCAGTGGAGGGTAGCGAAAGTAGAAGAGATAGAAAAGGTAGTGGCGACAGGTAACTGTAGACAACTGTTCATACCTGTCAAGCAAACGGGTATTAAAAACCAATTGTTAGTGAGACCCAGATGACCTACCTCCGGCTCTTTTTAAAGATGGTGGTGACTTTCTGGTGAAGGAAATGACTACGTTGTTTACAAAGGTTTGGGAGCTAGAGAGTGTTCCAACATCATGGGATGAGTCGATAGTTAACCCTATTTTTAAAAGTGTTCACGCTGTTTCTGTAACAACTATCGGGGGATAAGTCTACGATCTATCTCGGAAAAAAAAACAAAACTACTAATCACTCTTTATCCAGGAGATTTGACTGATGGGCAGAACACTTTAGGGAACAGTTCGACTGGGCTTTGGCCACCCACTATCTCCAAGAAACATGAATGGTAAATTGATGTAAATTCTTAAACTCTTAGTGATATTGAAGAGGCTATAACCAATTTGACGTATTGGGGAGCAAAATGGCCTAGTGGATTAACCTCTGAGATTGATAATGATGGTAGTCCAGTTTCGGCGGTTAGATTAACAGACATCTTAGCTAAAATCTGAGAATTGGATGTAATTCCATCTAACTGGTCTCGATCAATAAGTATTCCAATCTATAAAGATAAATCTTCTTGTAACAATAACAGAGGAATTAATTTAGTTGATAAGGTGTTTAAATGACTAACTGGCTAATACAATTTCTAAAATGTTAGCCTGAATAGTAATTCGACGTCCAACTAGAGCTGGCGAAGAGAAAACCCGAGAAAAACGGGCTGGTTTCATACCTGAACGTGGATGTATAGACTAAATACTCACCCTCCGACGGTTTTTGGAACATAGACATACTCTTCGACATCCGATTAGTTGTATTCCTTGACCTCAAGGCGACGTTTGACTCAGTTGATCGTGAGGTTAATATTAAATTTGAAAAGGCTACCTAATCAAACACTACTGTATAAGTTAAAGCTTATGGCAAATAATCATCGGAATCGGCTAAAGTGGTGTTCGTCAAGGTTGTCCGCTCCTACCATTTATATTTTATTTTTATTTGTTTTATTTGGACACATAAATATTAGTACAAGAGTGCGCCAGATATATATGCGCCACACAAAACAGTGAGAATTTATAGAGAAAGAAAAAAAGGTAGGGAGTGTAAATAAAGAACAATAACGACGAGATTGGTGTAAAGTAGTGTAATAATAATAGTAATAATGGGGGAACGGAAAGATACAATCAGAAGAAATCTTTCAGTTAAGATACAACCATTTTTTACGAAGAAAGTAAAAGAAGGTTACAGCAGGATCGCCACTGGCTTCTATTCTGAGCCATATCTGATAGCGTCTCTAGCACCATTTATATTTAACATCGTCGGAGACATACTTTTGGAGAAATTCTTGGGAATGTTCGTATATTACTGGTATTCGATCATAAGTGTCATCGAAGAATCGCTTGTGCATTATGGGACCACAATTATCAATGCATGGGTTAGGGATACGGCCAATGGCAATTGGACTGAGCAATGTTATTAAATTTAGACTACCTGGTTGGAGTCAACGCGATGATCTTGGATTACATGATTCCAAATCGTTTGCAATGGCGCAGGTGCAACTACTTTATGCCTCCTCTCAAATTTTGAGCTTCTGAATTCCTGATAACTTTCTTTATGGCGTTAGTTCACTAATTTGAATTTCCTAGAATCGTACCTTTGATGCCAAATTTTTTCAACTAAGACCCATACTTATATTTCTTTTACTATACTGGGATTTAGTCTGGAGATACCATCCCTACGTGCTAACGAACTAGGGTAACTTGAACCAATGTATATACGTATCGGTTTACAGGTTGTGACTGACTGGATGGCTAGTATATAATCCACCGTAAACCTGTAATAGCACTGTTAATTCTTACAGAAAATAGTTGCCGTAATGCCAACTACTAAGAGTATTCAACGGCAAATTTGATACAGTCTGATGGGTAAGGGTAGTCTCGTCATTGATCAGTTGATGAGAAAGACGAAACCCCATCGTGAGGTTCCTTAAACGCAGTTAAGAAATATGTGTTAGCGTCCGAAACTACTAATCCTGAAGACGCAGTGTCAAGAAAAGCCGTGCAAACGTCTTTAAGATGGCTTGATCAACAAGATGTTTGAAACAAGAATACAGAAAAAGGACAATAAATGGCATAAATACTTGTCCCTAAACTAGTCAGATTTCAAAGCTTGCTTATGAGATGATAAGTCACTGATTCATATTTTACTCAAAAAAGACCACCTATAAACATGAGCACTATGTTCTCTTTAATGTCTTCGGGAGTGTGCAAAATCAACATCAAGGACGCCCTTGGATATTTCACAATTTTGATAACCTGAAATCTAAGAATAACCATGAAAAGAACAAGCTGAAATCTATATGAAACCATGAGATTTTCGAAGGAATAAAGGTGATAGTGAGAGATAAATAGAATATATATATATATATATATATATATATATATATATATATATGCATATATATATATATATCGCCCAACCTTAACGAACCTTCAGGTTTGAATTTTACGACAATAAGCACGTCCAATCTAGTGTCCAATATCGACTTCAGTTTCAGTATGGAAAGGATAAGAGGCTAGATGGTCCGTGTTAGTCTTATCAGAGGTGGTCTCTCAATCGATTTGATTTTTACTTGAAAGCGTCGATAGTTGTAGCTTAAGTCACATGTTAAAGCGATGAATTGTATTTGTTGATGATGGACGGGAAAGTCGGTAGTCAGTTGAATTGTAATTTATTCCGGGCTTGTGAACTATTTTTGAGTGTCCCTGTTAACTCTCCGTCTCAGAAGGCAAAAACAACAAAGGCATATCAGACCTAAATTTATTACCAGGTAGTTCAGAAACTGTAATCAATTCATCTCTGTTTTACACGACAATGGAAGTAAGTTGAGATAGGACAGTCGAGAACCATACGAGGCTTTTCTGTTAGCTTTTCTAATAGCTTACTGTCTCTCAGCAGACTAGAGGTTAGTTTCTTGTATGCAATTCTCGACTTTCGGACCCAGGAATACCATATACACGGTCAAAAATGTTTTAGCATCGGCATAGCTAAAGGCCCTACCAACTGACCACAGGTTTCTTAAACCTTTGGCGGATATCGCACGGAAGTGTGCCATAGTTTCTGACTTTTTGCTAACGATGACTACTGAGTTATTTTGTCTGGATAACAGGTAGTTCAATGTCATTCACCTTGTAGATATCTGTACCTTGGTGACTAATACGCACCACAAGGTACTTGGAAGCCTTTGTCAGAAACTGCCAAACTTAAGATCAGTCAGATAATTTCTCATAAACATTTTGAAGCGCTGAACTTTCACACTTACATATAATCTCTCTCCATATTTTTACATCGATAGCATATAACAAAACCGATTTTGATCGGAAAGGAGGGAGGTCTTTACATACAGGATGATCAACACTGACATAAAAAATGCACACTAAGATGCTCTACCAAGCACAATTTCTTATCTGGATAACTTTGAATTCACCCCTACTCTTTGTTAGTCGTTTATCTATATTGGTGAATTACTTCCGACCCTAATATTACCTAACTTATATGGACGTCGGTTGGGAGGAAATTTGCCGAAAGCTTTGCTGATGTCATTGTGTGCTAAAACTATAGATGACTTTTGATCCTTTCGCTATTAATATGTTAGTGAGTCAGGAATAATCTGTTCCAAAGCCCTGCTTTTCTTCAGGAAGAATTAGGTTTCCGTTGAGATATTTAGACAACTCTCTCTGAACAATCTTTTCAAAACCTTCAACAACTACGCTAGTTGGGCTTAGGGGTCGATAATTCTTAGGTTTATATTTCGTACCTGTTTTGAAGGCAGGACTTACCATTGGCGTTCTCCAAGTCTTTTGGTAATCGACCCTCGGTTACAGATAGACTGAAACATATACTTAAGCGTTTCACGGATACATCTCATCGGGCTTCGTGGATTCGCCTGTTTCAAGCTCATTGAGCAGACCAAAGACGTCGAGTTGTTTAATGGTCACAGTGTATAGAGTGTGGGGTTTTTTTACGAATTGAAGGGAAAGGTGCCTCTAAGCTACATACATTGTTAAAGATTGGAAACTATGTCGAGACAACTGAAGAAAACATATGAAGTAGGTTATCGACACTTCTCGTTTATTTTCAGCCTCATTGACAATATGACATTTAATTTACATGTATTGAAATACAGGTTCACCCATATCGTTCCTATTTAATCACTCAACAGCAACATAGCTGTAATGAGTTTTCTGTTTCTTAAGGATTCTGATGATTCTTTTGATGCTTATGATTTTCATAGGAAGTTTGAAAGAATACTAAAGTCAATTTTAGTAACAAGCGGACAATAAAAATATTTGGTAGTTTTAACTTTAAAACAGCTTTTCAGCAGTAGTTAACTGTAAAATATTTCATCAATAATTGCTAACTTGGGTCTATACTATTGAGGTAAATACATAGGCACCAATTTATGCGGCTAGCATAAGTTTTTTTTTGAATAAGCACAAATAAATTTATTGCTTTCATTTTAAAACGAGTGAAATATCTGCAATATCTTTTAAAGTCTCAAGTTTAGAACACATGCTTACAAATCATCGTAAAAATATGTATGTATTTATTCTAGATCTTTG